AGACGTCGGCCCATGTCGTGTGGTGTTGAACAGGGCTCTGGTCTCGGACCCTCCTGTGGAACATAGGGTACGACTTGTACGAACATAGGGTACGATTGTACTGAGGACTCGGCTCAGCACACGCTGGCAAATTACGTCGCTCGCAGTCGATTGCGGTGCAAAACATAATTTCTAGTGTAACCAATGCTCACTTTTAGAAATGTATTATATTAAAAGTTTAAATTATAGTTCGACATTTAGATGCAACTTTTTGTGATAAGATGTGTGGGTACATTGATTTAACAAAATATTTTCACACCTCGATCGAAATAAGTAGATAGTTTTTTCGGCCAGAAAACGCGGGGTCCCCAAATACGCGGGTCCTTAGCATTTGCTACTCTTGCTTCGTCTCTAATCCGCCACTGCACCTAACAAATATCTTGAAACAATAAAACAAGATCAGTAAATGATTATATTATTGAAAGAGTTATCCTCTAATTCCTAAAGGTCAAGGACCCTTCCATCATCAGCTCAGCAACATGAGATAACGACTACGAAACGCAAATATCTGTATAGCTACACAAAAAAAGCTTAAACACGTTGTTGGAGCTGTAAAATTTGAGGGTTTCCCTCGATTTCTCGGGGATCCCATCGTCAGATCCTGATTTGGTAATAATGGGACTCACTTCACTTCATGGGAGTATACCCTTTCGATTACAAAAATATTTTTTTAAATCGGTCCTAAATTGACGGAGATATCGCGTAACAAACATATAAAAAAAAATATACAGACGTATTGAGAACCTCCTCTTTTGTGTTTTTGAAGTCAGTTAAAAATACAAGTGCTCCGCAACAGTGTCTTCCTAACAGTGCGTTAGAAGCTTTTTAGCAAGTATACTAACCACTAACTATTTAAACGTGCCACTACGACGATACTACCATTAGTTATGTACGTAATTAAAATTATGCAATTGATTTTATTGCGATGTGGTCTACAGAAAATAGCGTGTCTTATAATAATCCAACTTTGTGTAAACAGCTATAATCTGTGTGTATGTAGAGAATGTTAATAATCAAGTGTTGAACTCAGTGTAGGTAAAATTACCTTCATAAACAAAATGTACGCGGACATACTTTTAAAGTAGAAGGATAATGAAAACTCGAAGCTAAACGTAATTTTTCGGGAAAGGTGTCGTGTCCCTGTACTTTAAAGGAATGATTAAAAAACGTCCATTCAATTTATTTGGCCGTGCTTACAATACTAGCTGATAAAATGCAGGAATGTTTTTATTTCTTCTGTTTCAACTGAATTTTTGGAGCATCGACACCGCTTAGGTAACTTGGCATGACCAACAACAAACGTTGCTGTTTTTAATTTCATTTTCAATTTACTGATGGAGGCGGTACGGCACCTTTTCTTTTCTCTGCATACCTACCTTTTCGTACATAAATTACGACGCGTTTGAAGTTACAATTAAAACTTCATCTCATTTGAAACGTCTGTTTATTCCGAGCGGGTGCTTGATGAATGCTGTGTAATTTAGCAAGTCATTGACAACGCATTAATAATATTTATCGATGATATTTATTAATTCTCACTGATTTATTACGTGACATTATAACAGCAGATTCAATAATAGGTAGGTTCTCAATAGATTTGCTAAGTGTTACGCAATAATGTGTGACTATTACTAATTGTACGGAAAAAATCGTATATTAGTAGCAGTAATAGTAGTAAGTATTACACATTACACGTTTACTTTATAAAAATACCAGTACTTTACGTACCGTCAGAAGATAACAGTCGTTTAAGATTTTGCACTTATTATTTAAAAAACTGCCTAAAATGAGTAAAAAGATATTTACAAAAGTGATTGGTTCTTTGGCAATATTTGTCCTCTTCTTGTGTTTACACTTGTGTTACACATATGTTAGCTATAAAAATCGTCGATATTATCACATGCGGTGATTTCTTCCAGACAATTTGGCTCAGTTTCCAAATAATATCTAATTACGGTTTCCCTCCCACATCGGCAAACCATTCTCGATTCTCCAAGCACTTTGCCTCGTCTGTGATATAGATTGTTATATTTTTCGAAGTCACGATGTTATTAATAATAACATCACGAAGTCTTGGATTGTATTAGTCAAGAATCCAAAATGGATATATGAACTCATTGAACTGAATGTTTGTTTTACATTACTCGATAAAACAAACTACTGGCTACCGCCGCTTGACGCCTGCAACTCAAGAGTGACATACTCGTTGCCACCCTCAGAGTCAGGGGGAGGAATGACCCTCACTCACTAAGTTAAAAGCAACGAAAAAACTGCTTAACAACGGTTTTCTGTGAGGCCGTTGTATCGTATCTATCTATCCGACGGAACCGTTCCATGTGGTGCTCCCACGATAATGAGAATGTGACTAAAACAATGATTAGGCGACTGGAATGGAAATAATACTTTACAGGTCTTGATTCAGAATTATATTTTTAAGGATTTTTAACCGACTTCAAAAAAGGAGGAGGTTCTCAATTCGACTGTATTTTTTTTTTATGTTTGTTACCTCATAACTTTCGACTGGGTAAACCGATTTTGATGATTCTTTTTTTATTGGAAAGCTGGTGCTTTCCGTGTGGTCCCATTTCAATTTGGTCTAGTTCTGACCATGGAATCCATGAGAAAACCATTGAAGTCGGTTTTTTTTTGTTAAAATTTTACTTGTTTAATATTACAACGCAATTTGTCAACTTTTTCAAAAAATAGACGGCAATAACAGACCGCTATCCATATTACCTACCTATCTAGTTCTTTATAACAATTATAAGTGCATGTATGTCAAATACAACGAGGTGATCTATGCCGTATTACATAACGTAAATATATTAATAAGTATTAAATATAATAGGATGATTTTTAGGAACGAGCGTCGACACAACAATTTATGAGCGTAATAAACCTTTTCATTAGAGCACTCGTGAAGGAAAGAAGCAAATAATGCACAGTTTTTTATGATTACTTTTATATTTAGCAAAGTAGTGAGTCAGCATCATCAACAGCCTTTAATAGTCCACTGCTGGACATGAGCCTCTCCTTAGAAAGGAGGTTTTGGCGAGTCAGCAATGCATCCTTAATTATTAGAAAATAGTTTTTCTCGGGACTTTGCTCGCGTAAATTAAAGTTTTAGTCCCACGCGATAATTTTTGTTGTAACTATACATGGTATCCTGCCCTTTGTTGTATCTATATTTATCAGATATACCGTAGCGGCAGCATGAACTTCAGAACTGTGTAATTTGACAGACATCTTTTTCATTATTTAAAAAATGGCTATATGTAGCGACAGCCGTGTAATGTTCATGTTGACCAGCTACGGTACAAAAAGTGTACATAATGACAGTTCAGTTAAATAGGTAATTGATATAAAACAAAAACCTAAAGCTGAAACAAATACGGTCAAATTTCAATCATCGATTGTTAAATGGCTTCATAGGTCTGTCTGAGGAGGTAGCCAGGACCGTTTTGATGCACAATTGGGTCCACATCTTTCTCAGGGCCGTGTGCACTGCCGATGAAGCCGCCTTTTTTTTTGTGCGGAAATCGCCCTTCGGATACCCCTCCAACGGATAACCGGTGGTTATAGATTTTATTTCTGATGACGCAGCATTCCTTCATGCTGGTTCATTCTACGGATCATCAATGTCACCGCGTCCCGCGAGCCACATAGGCTACAGGATTATGTTCTGCCAGAACTGCTATTAATACTAAATTCCGGTCAGTCAGAACGACACACCGATCTTTGGATCTGCTCAGAGTTAACCTAATTGAATATTGTGTGGCCTTAAAACCGCACGCACCATTTGTATTATTAGCGTAGCTTCGCAGACGTTAATGTAAATTTTGTGAAACAATTCAGGTGACCCTGGGAAACAGTATTTTAGTATTAATAATAGAAACAGGATGAAAGACACCCTACGTCCTTTTTTGTATCTCTTTGTGCAGAGATCAGAGAATATAAAAAAAAGTGTTTTAATTTATCCGAGTAATGGTTAATCAGTGTCTGTCAAAGAGTGTACACATTACAAACGAACGAACGCAACTGTATTTTACTTCTAATTAAAAACCTTGGTAGATGTATCCTGGATTATTGTGTTTGCTTAGCAGCTTGTTCAAAGGGAAGCATCGCAAAAGGTTCATGAGATTGATCAAGATATACATGTGTATATACCTACATCACGCTGTACATAAACCCATCTCTGTTTCCGCGAATGTGGTCCTAAGCGACATTGGACTATTAGCAAATTTATAGTATACAAAAATATGACTTACCGTATCTTCATCTACATCTTCCGTATTATTATTATTAGTTGTTTTCAGTATCTAGTAGTACTACTTTGACCCTTTCTAATCTTAAAAAAAAAGGAATATATCCTGTGTCGCAGGGGAATTTACAGACATACATGTAACGGACACAAAGAAGACTTAGAACAACAATTTGTGGGTTAGGTACACAAAGTGTTGTCCATCGACAACACCGACAAGACATCAGTAATATGGGTTATAAATTCCTAGTAAACTCGTTAATTCCCGTAGGCTAAATGCTTATGTTAGGAGTAAGTTAACTTCTGTGGTGTATTAAGTGATAGTCGAACTCATAACTACTTGACCGCTGATGACGCCTTACCGTTGCGCCATGGCCAAGGGAGCTTGAAAGGGTGGAGAAATTTTAGGTAAAGTAAAGTAAATACACATCAAAATTTGCATACTTTAAAAGTGGCATAAGTCTTTTATTTATTAAAAAAATAGATATAACTTTGTAATGTAAGTAACTTATAACATAAGATAATGGCACATTTAAATTATAAATAATTGTGTATAATTATGTCAGAATGAGTCGTAATCAACACATTTTTAAATTCTTTTATCATTGCTCAGTTCTTAAAAATGTTTCAAAAGGAAACAAGAATTAAAGGTACATTTCATGGCATACTTTCTAGGAACTGTCAACCGTTTAAAATAAGTTTATTTTGTGTTCTTATTAGTTTGTGCGTTGGAGTATTTTGCCTGGAATCGCCAACGGTCACGCCAGCATTGAACTTGGTTCCGGATACGCGAAACGTCTGCGGCATACGTACGGCAGCAGCCGCCAACATACCGAACGCCTAGATCCAGCCATTCCTGAACAAATACTTCCACAGACTCGCACTTGTCACGATCTATCCACCTGTGAGATATAAAAACTTGTTTTAGTAAGTAGTTTTCAAGCGATGGATCCCTTCGCGCTACTTAGTCGAAGTGGCTGTAGTCGAAGTGGGTAAGTTTGCATAATAAGGCCATCCCATTACTGTTGTGCCTACGTTTGGAATAAAAAATCATGTCAATTACGTTAACTTGGGAATATATATCCTAAAACACAGATAACTTATCCTACTCGAAAATCTTACCCTATTTGAGGATTGTATTTTTCGCCTGAATTGGGGTAAACGATAAGCGGAATGGGGTCGTGTGGCCGATCGTCGTTGAAGCCTTTCAGAAGGTTCGCCACAAAGGACGGCGCACAGCAATTCACTCCAACGGCTACCAGTTGCTCAGGATTCGTTTCCCAACACTTCTTGGCCACTTTCTGGAAGCTTTCGCCATGGGCTATGCTTTGGTTGTCCTGTTAAAAATGATTTAATATTTTAAAAGACAAAATAACGGCATGAATACGATTCTATTTCATTTAACAAATACTGCACCTAAGGATTCTTATTGAAATCGAATACTTATATAAATATCTCGTGTTTCTAATACTTATATGAATATGATTGCGGTCGCACTCCTCCGAAGAAAAAAAATAGGGTTTTTTTTCTATTTGGTAGGTATGACAATAGGTCGTAAAGTATTTTTTACACTCTTACCCCCATCCTCCATTTGTTAATCGCGATTTGATGTCTTTGATTATTTACGTCGCAGAACAACGTTTGCCGCGTCAGTTTACTTGTATTATCTTAAAAATTTGATACCACCCAAAAGTCCCAGATATCAAGGCACATTTACATTAGTGTACATGATTACTTATAAGGGGTGCCGAGCGTCCGAATGGTGAAAAAACGGCATCCTTATAGAATCAGTCATGCGTCTGTCAGCCCGTCCGTCACGGGCAATTTGCTCCGAATCTTCTGGATAGATTAAATTGAATTTTTGGTACTTATACATTAATGCTCGTGCCACATTTATAAATCATTGTTAAGGTGTTATCGAGGGAATAATTGTGAGGGTCTTATATATTTTTTAACTTATGATTACTGCTTTTAAACTTTTATTTTACTGGACCTACAACATACAAAAAATAAATACAGACGGTTTTTATTAATGTTTAGCAGATATTTTTATTTGTGGACTGTAACGATGCTATTATTGCCAAAATATCTGTTAATCTATATAACATGGTCTTCTTTTGATTACAATGACTAAGTATAATTACACTACATTTACATTATTTCTTTTACGTTTTTAGAGTAAAAACTAAAGGAAGTCTATGGTCTTAAAAAATAAAGTAATTATTTCCACAGCGTGAGTGAATATTTACATTTTAAGATAGGAAGAAAGTAAAAACGAAAATGGTAGGGAGAGAAAACAAGGGTAAGATATACCGCAAGTTTGAGATGGGGAACCGGATTGAGACGGCAGACTCGCAGCTCAGCGTATACACAGGCAGGACGCGTGTCGAATGTTGAAGACATTCAAAATAAAAAGAGGACAACGAAATACAAGAACAGCATCTCACACGAGGAGCATACTAGCTAGAGGTAGACTAAGAAGTAATATTTTAAATATAAATTTTAAATATAAAATAACTAGCTGACGGGCCAACGTTGTTTTGCCATATACATTATTTCAAAAAAAGTTCACAAAAAATAAAATTAAGGGTATGAACAATAGATGTTGGACACAAAATTTCACGAAAATTGGGTGAGCCTTTTTGGAGGAGTTCAACCACGCACACCGTGACACGAGAATTTTATATATTAGATTAAAAACCCAAACCTTTTTGATTTTAGTGTTGTTTTTGATTCAATAGAAATAAGTTGGACAAGGTTGACAATTGTTTTTGACTCGGGGAAATTTAATTAAAACAAATGTAACAACCGGATATCAAATTATAAGTGTTATTATTCTTAGTATTAGTCATTCAAATCAAAAGGAGAAGACGGTTATATACAGTTTTACAGATATTTTTATAATAACAGCATCGTTACAATCCACTAATAAAATTTCTGCTAACATTAAATAACTCATTGTTTTTGTCTTAATTATTATAGTAATTATTAGTTAGCGAAATAATGAAAAAAAAATAACAAATTCGTTTTTGAGGTACTTTTCATCATTAACAGACTATAATATTCCACTGCTGGACATAGGCCTCTCCTTGGAAAGGAGGTTTTGGTCTACTATACCACGCTGGCCAGACGGGTTGGTATGGGGTTTGTTTCAAGTTTTCCTTCTCTTTGTAGTGCTGTTATCCTGCGTAGTTTGTTCCCTTAGTCGGCTCTTACGAAACCCCCCCCCCCCCCCGGGATGAATAGGGGTGGTGACATTCCGTATTCTTAATCCGTCAACACACGGATATACTTTTATGACTTTTTATTTAGGTTTAATTTGGCATGTAGTTTTTGGCAATCCGAAAGTAAATAGATGTACTGCAACGGCCATCAGTAGCAGTTGTTTATCATTCCTCGCCAGTCGTAAAAGTTAACCAAGGAAAAGGGTAAGGTACTATTGTACGTGGTTATACATACATAATTAGATTTTGTAGACCTTATTGTAGATAAGGAAAATAAACCGTTTTTTGATAAACCTGTCATAGCAGTTTGAGAGAACCAACATTTTGAACTTTAATTTATTATTAAATGCAGTCTGTTTATTTTTTGAACTGATTGAAACGATATAAATTTACGAAATATGATTAAGATGTATTTCGACCTTGTGATCCGCTATTAATTGCGAGTACAACAAAATATCTTTCTCTTTTTGGTATTCGTGCAACACTTTTAACTGCCGTTCAACATGATTCACTTTTCGTTTCCCATCTACCCTATCCGTCCGAACAGAATAACAAACCCTATTTGAATATTTTTGTATCTAGATAGGGTTTGCCAACCCAGTGTGTTCAAATATGTAGCTGCAAAATAAATAACAAGTCCGCTGAGCTCCAGCGTAACACCGCTATAACGCATTGTGTCAATACCAGGTTAGAACGAACCAATGATTTGTTATTTTAGAATTTCAAAACTTCTTGCAAAATTGATATAGATCCTGTTACATCAGTCATTCATTCTACGTTTGAGTATACGATTCCTCGTGTTTAGTACCTACAAATATTCGGAAACATTTTGTTTGTGTGTGTTTGATGTGTTTATGTGCTTTTAACTAAATTGAGACTATTGAAGACGTTTGTTGTAGGACTATTTTACTTTATTAACTTACCTTACAACTGAATACGACCCAAGCTTTTATGTGAGGGAATTCCTTAAGAAGCTCGCATAACATTTCGGCTTCTTCCTGACAAGGGATCGTTTCCAACGCGAGGAGGTCAACTCCTGCTTCAACTAACGCCTGGATACGGGGTCGATGCCATTCCCTCATGGTCTAAAGAAAAATAAAGTCATGCATTATAGTTTCAAGAAATTGTTTTCTTAATCTAAATACATTTTACCGTGCTATAATTTTTATGGAAACTTTTTAAAAGTACGGCATACGGTTGAGAAAATGACTCGAGATCGTAAAACTGCTATCAGTTAAATGCCTGTGCATGAACACCCAATGTAAACATTTTGAGTACCCTTTAAATACGGAACATAAAAATATTAATAAATGTCTTTTGCTCATAATGTTCAAATGTAATTCAAATTTATTCAAATGTAATGATTAAGACTTAATTTATACAACAATAAAAATAACCAATAGAAATTTAAAACGTTCATTAATAAAAACAATAACATCTCCGAAACTAATTAGAGTTCAAATTTTGTTACTTCATGTTTTTTTTTCAGATAGCCATTTGTTCTAGATTTCGTTAATTAACTGTCCACCCCAGTCAAATGCTGTCGGTACACGAAAAAAAGAAAAGAAAAATGGAGTGGAGTTTTTCATATTGCCGATGTAAATTTTAATTTGCAGGCAACTTTACGGCGCTCTTTACGATTTAGCCGCCGCTCTCAATGGCCTTTATTAGGCTATGCATTCATTGCTCGGAGGGTTCTGTAGAAATGATCGAGTACCTGACTCATAGTTTTTGAGAAATAGCTTTTGTTTGAATATAGTTTAGAGAGTGTTTTTTATACGACTGTTCAGGGTATAAGAACAATAAAGATAATACTGAAGAGAAGCTAGCAAAGATTTCTGTTTGATTTAGTGCCGTTTAGAAATAACTAGTAGTGACTGATGTTTGTTACGCTTTGATACCGATCTTCATAAAATCGTGAATTTCGTCCGGGACACAGAAATGCAACTTCCGCAAATATATGCTGTTCCTAAGAGAGTGTATCAACACAACATTAATTCAATACAATTGAAAAACAGAAAAAATATAGTAGTAGGTATATCTAGTAGTATAGTAGTAGCAGCATAATTCGTGTATGTCTAACTATTCGCCGGATAATCATAAATTTTGAACAGGGATATATATAACGACACAAAAAAAATACCATCCCGATAAGTAGACACTAAGCAAGCGAGGCGCTTACAAAGGTTTACAAATAATCACATTTTACATAGAGTTTTGGGTTTCAAAATAGCTAAAAAGAATTAGTAAGTAAAGGCCCTTCACGTACAACTAAACGATTAAAACTACATTTTTCTGCTGTAACAAAAACTGTATAATCAGGCTAAATAAACTCTTCATTTTGCATTCAATTATTTTTTATATTCGGTTACACTTAGTTAGTATCCAATTGATCCCCAAATGGACCTGTGTACTAAACATAGGATAATAAAATACTCATTCGTAGAATTTGGAGCTTTTAGTTAGAAAGCGTCACCTTTAATGTTATAACAAGATCGATTCTTACGATTTCCTTTCCGAAAGCACTCATTGACGATATACTATTATAAGAACAGACAAAGAACCAATTAGGTACCGCCTAAATCCATTTATTATTAACGACAACCGGCTTTAAAAGGCAGGCTTATTTATTTGAATCAAAAATATCCTAGAAAAGATACAAACTCAAAACGATAAATTTTACGCTGATGCCAAGCATTTGGCTGCATTGATCGATTACAACTTCTAATTAGTTTTTCTATCTATTGATAGTATTTACAAGTAACTGATCTTGTCCCATAATATTGAATAATATATAAGAACAATAGTCGCTGATTTTTATCATTCTCTGTTTTAAGTACTTAAATAATAATTTAAAAAACAATTAAACAAATTTTTGTAAACTACATTTTTATTTCTTCAATTTTTAGCTACAACACGAAAATTTTGTAAATTCGATATTTGTGACCACGCCTCATATAACTCGTAAATTACACTCTTTAAACATACATTATTTTAAGATGGAGGATCGTTTAAAAAATAGGTTGTCTTCCTCCAAGGTCGTAATATATTTATCTATTAATCAAAATTCAACCTTTAAACCTATCAAGCCAGTCATAATATATAGCTTATTTGTAAATGGCACAATTTTAAGGCATTATTACTTTTGCCCTATTTGAAAATTTTATAAATTTTGGCAGGACCTTCCTCGTAACAAAATCCTTTGGAATTAGAGAGCTAATTGGAGAGAAAATATGTTATTAAATTTTCGCTGTTGGCTGTATTGTAATTTTTGAAATAGAGAAACAGCTCATTGTAGGAACTTGTGTGGAAAATCATGTAATGAATTTATTATGATTATACATTACAGCGAGATCATTATGGAACTTTTCGTGGGGTGGTAATTCTTCACTTTTAAAAATTTTGCAGCAGCAATACCTTTTCCTTTTCATAAATATCTGTCGTAAATTTCTAAGTTAGGTGCTGTAGACATGACGTCTATTTTTTATCTACTAATAGTGTGTAGCAATGCTTTTTTAAAGATACACACGCACTTCAAATCTACTGAAACCATTATATTTACTTTAGTAAACATTTAAAATCAGAAGGCCTTAAACTTGTGTTTTATAAGATATTAGGTAGACAGAACTAAATAATCGAGTTAAAAGGTAATTAAATAAAAAAGAAATCAGAATCTAGTTGAAAATACTATCTACTGAGCCTTGTTAGCCGATCTTTATAGCTATTAAGGCTGAAAGCAGACAGAAGGCAATTTATTGTCCATATCACAAGTGGTCTTAGCTAGTTTTGTGAGCGATCTTAGAACATTACTAAGTTTTTCTTAATTTTTAGTATGGTATGAATGAACATTTATTGTATTATATTATTCCAGATATGTTTGAAAATCGGGAAATGCGAACACCATATTACAAGAGCACAAAAGGTCAGGTGTCCAATTTTCTAAATTGCAGGCTTGGTGCGGTGTTCAGCGGTAAGGCATAGGGTACGATTTTGCTTGTGGAAAGCTTGCCTGTAGTCAGATACATGCCCCCTAGCTCTGCACGAAATTGGAATAACGATGTTACGGTGAAAATAACATGCTCATACTTCACTGAATTTTCAATTTTATATGCTATGAATCCAGCTGTATTTATTAAAAGAATTCTGCACTGCACGGATGGCGTAGTGGTTTAAACGGTCACCTCGCCGATTTCTACTGCGCTGCGTATTGTGGGTTAGATCCCTACAAGGAACAACACTTTATGTGATACACAAATTGTGTTTATGAGTCTGGGTGTTCTTTGTGCCCGTTCGATGAATGTTACTAACGTCCACTACGACACAGGATATAATCCTAGTGCGGGAATTTTCTTTTAAAACAAAAAATGTTCATACATGGCAGTAAAATGTGTATCTCAATTGTCCCACCTATAAACTACTTCAGTACTAAATTTAACGTCTAGAACAAAAAATCAACTCGTGAAAACCTCCTTAGTCTAGCCCTGCTTTAAAATCCTATAGTTGACCTGTATGTCACAAACTACAACTCAGGCAAATTTCATAGGTCGTGACTCGTGTAGTATTCCAGATTGTAGTATTCTGATCTTCTAACCTTAAATTGAAGATATAATAAAACTAAGTAATACAAAAATAGGCATTCATGCCTACCATTCAAGCGCAAATAATTATTTGAATTTATATGCAATGTGTGAGCTCACTTCGACAGAGGTGGTGTCTGCGTAGCTTCCGTCGTACTCGGAGCCATCGTGCAAATGTGCTCCGTATGGTCCCACTGAGCCTACGACGAGCGGCCTGTTATCTGTAACATTCAAATTAAGTACCATCGTTTATTACTACAAAAAAATCCAAACCACAAATAAGATTTTCAGACAAGGTCAGTTTTTTATTAGATCTGTTTCTTAATTGCAAAAGAAGTAAACAGTTTCCAGGACTTATTTTGTTACTATTTTACTTACTATCTATAGTTTGAAGTACTTATACTTCAAAATATAGAAAAATACCCCAACTACATAAAAATACAATACGTTAATTAAGTTAATCACAATATAGTGATGGATCCTCACTACATTGTGATTATTTTGGTTTACATTCATTTTTTGTAATATTACAATGAGTAATCAATATTGTAGCTACATCAGCTTAATACCCGAACTTTAAACTTAGTAACTAATAAATAAATAAAAATGTAACCAGTAAAATAAGTAAATAAATAATCTAATTTGCAATCCATTACCATTACCATACCTACTTCATATTTATACCACTCTCAACGGACATGTTTTCACATTATCTACGCGAATACACATAACTTTCAACCCTTGAAAAGTGTAATTAATGCGTGCTTGCACCCGACCCTTACGGGTGCGGGCCCCAGAATCTTTGTTTAGCGCAAAACACAAACATTCTTGAAATTTTATAAAGTTAAATAATAAATTACATCTGTTACGTAGTGTTTTTTTTTCTTTACCTTGTTTGAAGAATCTTATGAATGTTATGTAAACACTAAGAGGGACGAGGTACTGCTAGAAAACCGTTTTAAAATTTAGAAAAACAAGAACGTTCCATCATACTTGTAATTCTGAACATAAAATACCTGCAGTATAAACCCGTGATAAAGATTTAAATACGTATTTTTGACTGGTTTTATAGCCAATTTGCCTGTTTCGTAGCGACTGAACGTTCATTTTGAACTCACAAAATGAAAGTAGAAATTAAAATTACCTGGGTGTATACTTTAGGGACAGTTTAATTATCTTTCATTATAGCACTATAAACATTACTTCTAAATAGAAAAATATAAACTTTGTCTTTTTGATTTATATAGTATTAAAATATGTTTACGAAATGAAATTTCTATGTAACACGCAAATATTTTACTAATACATGTATTGTTTTTCTTTGTAATTTTAACAATTATTACCACATATATTTTCAACATACGATATGGGTGAAAACATTCTGAAATGGAACTTTTAGATTCTCGGCAGCAAATGTAATTTTTATAATCAGCCTGTTGCTTCCTTCCTCAGGTTATATTAATAAGTTAAAGATGTAAATTTAACAAAAAAATAAGGAAATCAAATGAGTGTTTTAGGAATACAAACGTTACAGACAAGTAAGTAGTTATGTTTTGTATAATGGCATACGAGTATAGTGGACAAAGTAGATCTATACCAAAAAAAGCAAACTTTGTAAAGGTGAGATGTTTTTGAATCTCGCTCGTTAAGAAGGGAACAGTTGGTTTTGTTCGTAGGGAAATAATTCTATCTCTATACGTATTTTTACAAGATAAAAGTAAGCCAACCAATTTTAAAGTAGAAAAATTGAATACTCGTAAGTTGTTTTACATTGAGAGAACATAATCAATTTATGTTAAGTCTCGTCCAGACTGTCTTAGAAAACGTTACGTACCTAATAGTAACAACATGACGCAATAAGAATTGAACAAGAACAAATAGTTCAAAATCTTTGTTTTTATAAACTGATGCAATGTGGTACTGTGAAGGTGTTGTAATAAAAGTTTTAAATATTGTTCTCAGTGAAACTTAGTTTCAATACTACGATTCAATTATTACTCATAGAAGAACAAAGGACGGTTATGACCCAAAAAGGTGTGTGCAGCAAATTAGCTCCTGTGCAAATCGTTGATCACATTAAATAGATAGAGATAATGGGTCAATGAGCAATGACTGGTGAATGTACTTTATAAAGCTTTGTGTGTTTTGTAAAAGAAAACATACTGACCTTTCTGTACGTAGTCCTGGTACTCTTCGAGATATAGTGTGCGGGCTCGCTTTGCTAACTCAACACCTTGTACGATCAGCTCGTAAGCCTCTTCGGCTGTTACCCCGAGGTGCTCCACGAAACCATCTACCGAAGCCTGGTAGGTGTTCGTGATAATTAAATCAGCACCCGCTGTAAATCAAACATGGAACTGTTATTAATATTGTCGCCATTATGTGCCGGAGTTCACTTCAAAATTGATAAACGAAGAAATGATTCGCAAACAGCAGTATTAGCGGAGTGAATATTTTCTTTTTTGGTGAGTACGGTCATCAGAACTCCTTGAGAAGGGTTAATATTGTTGAAAAATGACTACGAAGATACATACATTAAGCTCGCTGTATGTAAGCTATTTATCAAATGAACAAATAATATACTGTTGAATAAATAATGTGTAACGGAAATGTGAGTTATTACCCTAATTTTCTTAAATATATTCTTATCTCTATCCTGTTCTATTTTAGTCTTTACTACTATTCAACGTTAATTACTACTACATACACTCGTAAGACTGTTTTTCAAAACTAATACGATAGGTAAATATTGTAATAATATTCGTGGTATGGTAATGGCGGCGAATGGGTAACAGGCATAAACAATTAACATTATTAAAACTAGTATGTACTACAACAACGCCACAGCTAGTTCAATAATACGGAAGCGAGGACGATGAACGAAAGGTACCGTTCTCTGCCGAAGAAAATAATTATGTAATAAATAGAAGACGGCGCTCCGCTTGCGAATGGAAAGGTATTAGACAGACAAGGTGATTAATGGCAACAACGTTGTGTATCCGAAGTTCTAGTTTCTATACGACGCGCCTGCATTACGGGTGGGAGTCGTGCCTCGTGCCGCCTGCCGCCTGCCCGGGCCGTACTATGCAAATGTGAAGTAGTTAGTAGATGAGGGAGAAATAGCGGCATCACTTGCCAACTTCATATAGCGTCAATCATAATAATCACGGCGAAGTAGTTGGGACTTACCTACGAAGAAAATAAGTTCGCGTTTTTCCTAGAGTTAACGTCTTAAGTCTTAGTAACTATTTCAATTATGTAAAGTACTTTTACGCACATTAGTTAAGGTTAAAATTTTATATACATTTAATCATATATCTATTGTTTAAAAAGAAAAAATCGTAAGTGATTTTACAAAGTATGGGAGCATATTTATATTCTTTCACATTATGTTTCTATACAAGGCAGCAAAGCAAGGCAGTAGGCTTTTCCCTCTAGGGAGTTATTTGCTTGCAGACACTTTTCAGCTTTTTCTTATGAAAAGAAACGGTCCGTTTTGTGGCGAAGAAAAGCGCTTTCAGAGGACGATGACACGAGCCGAGGTCGCACTCTCGCTGTCAGATGCATGAAAATGACGGGCTAAAAGCGACCTAACGTGTAATTCGTCAAAACACGCATGTACTTATGCGCTTGTTGTACAGAATTTTGAGTGTATGTATTTATGTGAGTTTCCACACATTCGTGGTTTTGTGAAATGCTGTTTGAAATCGTTCAAACTTAACAAAGAGTATAACAACTACTCAAATATAAACTTATTTGAGGGAGGTACATGTTTATAAAACCAAAAAAAAAGAAATTGTTTAAGACTATTTGATCAATATGACTGCACAATTTAATTGTACCAATTCGTTGTTCAACGTTTCATCTTCGAAGTTTTAAATTTAGCGTACTATAATCTATTTACAATAGGTACTTGTACTCATTCCTAGTACGTAGTTTGTATGTCTATCATATCCAATACACGCGCCAACCCATTTCTTAGAGATGATGTGCATTGATGCATAAAATAATATCAAAAACGGGCACGTTTTGATATTATTTTATCACAAGGAATATTGATACCTCAAGTCATTATGTACAAATAAACTTTTAAGTATCGAAATATCGAACACGAGTGTAATCGCCCTTTGTAGCGCACGTTTGCGACGGTATTTCCGTAATTACTGATGTAATTATTCTGCCGCCAGTTTGATGGTAATCACAATTCATTATTCTGTAATTTTGATGTTACTCTTTCACCTGTTCCTGATGTAAATCTATAAATTAATACGTGAAGAAAATTCCTTGTACGCAAAAGAAAAAAAACTTCACATAGTTCAGAAAGCTAATTTTTAAGCAATAGGTATTAATTACTAATTTAACAATTTCATGAGAATTTCGTTACATAAAGTATACATATGTAAATGTCCAGTATATTTTGATCTATTACGTAACAGAAAGTTACAAAGTGTAAGGTTAAGTTGTACTGACCAACGTAAAAATAATTGAAACTAAACTTATAGGAACGAACTTCCTTTTAGCGCATTACACGCTCTGAGCGGATGGGAGCGAGGTCGAAAAATGTGTATGTAACAAGACTTTTTTTCGAGACTTCTTGCGGCACCTCGTTTCGACCGGGGGTTTCATAGACCCCATCACGCCGTTTCATGGTCTGAATTTGACCAGCACTTCAATCAATCATGCCACATATACATGTACGTCTAATAACACACTTATAGTGTCCATTGTTTGTTACAAATTTCTTCTGTATCTTGGTTTGCCAATACGGGCAATAATTATCGTATAAACTATACTGTATGCTACTTATTAAAAAAGTCTAGTTACCTCTTAAAAAGTCTAAATGTGTATTGACGACGTCTTCTGGATGAGTAGACAGGAAGCGTGCGCTCCAAAGCGGATCACCGTCAATGACGTGACCGACGTGGCACGACAGTTGTGTAGAGAAACCTCCATCCAAGATCACAATGTGTGGGGGTTCTGGTCCCTCACCGTTTGTTGGACTCATTTTTAGCAAGACGTCTGAAAAAGAATATTTTTATTAATAGATTGAACCTTTAACGTCTACGAAACATGAGTAAGTATTAATTAAATCAAATTATTTTTACTATTCTCACTCGTAAAAATCATGCTGTGTGCATACAAAAACACCGTGCATGACGCACACATTGACAGATACATTTATATATATATATTTTTTTTTCTTTTAATAATATTTTCACACATCTCACACACGGCTGTCTGATCCCAAACTAGGCAGAGCCTGTACTATGGTAACCAGATTGCTGATAAACATACTTATATATTTCTAAATACATACATATTAAAGATAAATTACACCCAGACACAGAACAAATGACCGTGCTCATCACACAATTATTTGTCCTGGGTGGGAATCGAATCCACGACCTCTTGCATAGCAGTCAGGGTCACTAACCACTAGACAAACAGGCCAGTCGAATATACACTTCTAAATTTTATATGTATAATATAGTCCAGTCACTTTGGCGATCCACCTCGCAATGAGAGCTAATAAGATACATTTTTGTACATACTCGTACCTTCATTTTGGCGTTTTAAAAGTTGTCTCAAGCAACCAACAACAACCTAGCAAGTTTAATGTAATATCGTGTCTCATATATCTATATAAAATTCAGCTTATTAGCTCTCATTCCGAGGTGGACGCCTTTTTAGGGTTCTGTACAAAAGGAACCCTTACAAGATCACTTTCTTGTCCGTCTGTCTGTCCGTGTGTCGCCACCGATTTTCTCAGAAACAGGTATACCTAGCAAGTTGAATTTTATACCAGATACTGAGGTGTATAATCCCTATTAGGTGTATAAAAGTCAAGATAATGAGTCAACACGATAAAAAGATATGATATGAGCAAAATTTTGCCTTTCGCAAAAACCTATAAGTATCAAAATTTACCTTAATTTTTAACTTTTTTATTTTTCGGAATTTTAACTTTACTTGTGCCGTGAGACCTTGCTTTTAACCAAAATTGACAGTTCTAGGTCAACCGGAAGTACCCTATAGGTTTTGGATCGAAAACCTACACGGTAGTTCGCGTTGACCTAGAATCACGAAATTTGGCAAAAAGGAAGGTCTTACTTAAAGTAAATTTTGGTAATTACAAGTTTTTGCGAAAATCTACGTAAAATCGTGGTAAGTACGGAACCCTCAGCTCACGAGTTCGACTCGCACTTGACCGGTTTTTTTTTTATGTTAAAGTGACTGGACTTATAAAACATTAGTCTCTAATGAATTGATACTTTAACTTGTCGAATACCGTAAGAGTAAAAGTAATATTTATTGTGAATAATCCTCTTTTGACATTTTATTAACTCAACGGCTTGGCTGTTCTTGCGAAATGCTTATTTTAGTTTCCTTTTTCAAATAATTATAGTTGCCGTCAATAACTTTGAGAGCAGATGTTGCTATTCTTTTGTTTTTCATTAGAGTCATAGAGTATTATGTGCACACCACCCCGCCGCAAACCCCGGAGGGGTTTGCGGCGGGGTGGTGTGTCGGACTCGGACCGACTAAAACCACACGGTGTGCCACTCTGCGCCTGTAACAGGAGGGATCCGGGAACAGCTGTTGTTAAGACATCCGGACCCCTCCTAGCGCCAGCCCGCTCCTGGTGCGGGCTCCGTCTCAGTATATTTTTCCTCTCTTTAGGCGACGTCCGGCACACGCGGACGCCGCCCCCTCGCGGCTGGCCAACTAATGCGGGTGGAGGGGAAACCCACCCCGTCCACCCGCGGCCACACTCAGGGCGGCATGAGGCTGTGATAGGCGGGCCTCCGCCGCCCGGTTCGCCGGCGGCGGATCGGGTCCGAGTGGAGGTCGTCCTCCCGGGCCCTCTCCGCCGCCTCCTTCCGCGAGATTACTACCTCGCAGAAGGTTGCGACCGCGGTAAAACAACTGTCGCTACCGGCCATGGAGCGTACTACGGCCGGTAGCGAGAGATCCACTCCGATGACTGCAGTGAGGGCCCGGCGCTGCGCCGCCCATGCTGGGCAGACCGCCAGCGTGTGCTGGGCCGAGTCCTCACTGCAGTCGCAGTGGTGGCAGGCGGGACTCAGTTCCCTCCTAGCGACCGTGTGCAGGTACTTTCCGAAGCAACCGTGCCCGGAAAGCACCTGCGTCAGCCGGAAGGAAAGGGTCCCGTGCTGCCGCCCTGCCCACTCGGCGATGACCGGCTGGAGAGCCTCCACGGCGGCGAAGCCAGCGCGTGGAGTCTCCAGCCGGAACGACCAACGAGCCATCGTGGCTCGGCGAGCGGCTTCGCGCCACTCGCGCACATCCTCGGGTGGAGGGCGAAATCCGCTCTCCGCCCGGGAGTCAGCCACTCGCCGATAAACTTCGGCGAGCACTTCCGCCTCCAAATCCGTAGAAACGGTGCGGTAACCGCGTATGGCTCTGACCGCCATTACCCTCTGAGGGCGCCAGAGGCGTACCCTATTCTGGGCGGTCAGAGCCGCCGCCCACACCGGTGCACCGTACAGCGCCATTGACCGGACAACCCCCGTGTACAGCCGTCTTGTCGCGACGCTGGGTCCACCCATATTGGGCAAGAGTCGCCCTAGGGCAGACGCAGCGCCGACCAGCTTTGGAGCAAGCTGTCGGAAGTGCTCGTCGAAGAGCCACCTCCCGTCGAGGATCAGGCCCAGATATTTCATCTGGGCCCGAACCGGTACGAGGACCGAGTTGACCACGATTGAGGCGCCAGGGGGTGGACCACGACGGGGCCCATGAAATAACAGGGCCTCCGTCTTATCTAGGGCCACCCGTAAGCCCAGCCCAGCGCCTCAATGCGCCCGACCACCAGGGAGACTCCCCCTGTGGCCAGGCCCGCCGCCTCTTGGAAGTTTGCCCCCCGGGCTGTCACCAGGGTATCGTCTGCGTAACAGATTACACCCAGCCCGGGGGGGAAATCGGCGCGAAGGGCCCAGTCGTACCCTATGTTCCACAAGAGGGGTCCAAGAACAGACCCCTGTGGAACACCGCACGACATGGGCCGACTCCTCAAATTACCTTCTCGGTCCTCGTACACGACGGTACGCTCCTCTAAATAGTCTGCCACCTGCCGCCTCAGGTACTTTGGCACCCCATGATAGTGGAGTGCTTCCCTGATGCAGCTGAATGGCAGACTATTGAATGCGTTGGCGATGTCTAATGACACCGCCAACAGCACGCCGCCACAGCTCACGGCCTCTTCGGTCACGGCCCTCAGGCGCAACACGGCGTCGACTGTCGAACGCCCCGCCCGAAAACCAAATTGGGCGTCCGACAGATCGGGGCCCACCTCGCAGAGGTGCCGGACGATGCGGGCAGAAAGAACCCTCTCAAACAATTTGCCCGCCTCGTCCAGCAGCACGATGGGCCTATAGGCCGCGACCGAATCGGCAGGCCGTCCCGGCTTCCTCAATAGGACCAGCTTCCCGCTCTTCCAGCACTCAGGGAAGCGTCCCGACGCCAAGCTAGCGTCGAACACCTCCCCGAGGCGGTCTGCCATGTGGTTGAGGGCCAGGGCCAGCACTCGGGCCGGTACCCCGTCTGGCCCAGGGGCGGTGTTCTTGGAACGGATCCGTAGAACAGCCGCCCCTACCTCCGAATCCCGGACGGTCGGAAACCCTATACCAACCCGTCTGGCCAGCGTGGTACAGTAGGCCAAAACCTCGTTTCTAAGGAGAGGCCTCTGTCCAGCAGTGGACCAGTAAAGGCTGTTGATGATGATACATAGTATTTGAAGTGTCAAGATCCAAGGGACAAGTGGGACCGACACCAACTATATCTCAAGGTAGACTAATTAAAACAGCATACTGGTATATAAATGTTATATTTAACAAACTAAGAAACTTTGAAATTACACAGATCGGTAGATAGGTTTGTTGTTAACAAGGAAAAAAAAAAAAAAGTTTTTTTTTTTTTTTACATATTATTTAATATAAGTATATGACATTAAAAAACTTCTTAGCAAAATAAGGATATCGTTTGTAAATAGGTATACCTTGTTTATAGGTTGGTGATTGTGAATTTCAACTATACCTAACTCGTGCCAATTATCATTGAAATTTCTTAAGGGTCGCATCGATACACCAAGATATTTTTTAAAATATTTTAAGATCTACCCCTTGTCAAGGATCAAATCGATACACTAAAAAGGGGTGTGCCGAATATTTTATTTGAAGGGTCGAGATTCAGGGGCGAATAGGCCATAGACCTTCAGTACATTCCAATGAAGATACCCTGAACTACGCAGTAACTACTAAACTACGAAAGTTGTTGCGCAGATTAGTATACATCACTCCGTGGGCCGCTGTCCGAAAGGCATGATCACCTCGTCTGGTTAGAGGACCTCTTTTCGTGAAGAATTACAGAATTATCTGGTCTCGATTTCCTACAAAAGTCATGGTCAATAGATCATGAAGACCCTTCCCTTCTTCATGATCTATTTTAGTCACTTGAATTATAAAAATGTACTCGTACACGCGTTAGAGAATGCTGCAAATACGTTATTGATGACATGTTCGGAAGCGTTAAAGTGTGATTTATTGTCTACTGATACACAAGACCAACCGAGCTTGTAGACAATTTAAAATTATGTTTGTCTTTATATCTTTACATTACAGTATTTACCATTAAAACACATATTTATTTGAGGCGGTAAATAAATATGTACGTATTATTATACATACAGCTTTTTAATCAGTTCTTTATTAACAAAAGAAGAGAGTTTATCTGTGACAAAGCAAATACATTGACGAAAGGCTGATTGCCTTTCCATAATTTACTAATATTACATAAATACTTCGAATAATCGAAAAAAAACTTTTTAAAATAAGTTTTATTAAAACCAGTCCTTTACTAAATGCCTATAATACTTAACGTTACTTACAAATATACCTCTTTACTTCAGATAAATAAGTAAAAAATACCAGCTAGTTACTTGCTCACCAAATATCTACGAATTTTTCTCATTCCTCATTTAGATGCATC